CTAAAGCCACAGCCCGATTTTCGCCATTCTTCTCTAAAGAGATAAATTCAGTAATGGCCGTTACACAGACTTATATGTTTAGATTTATTAAACCTTTGTCGGCTGTTGATTTGGCGAATCGGAAGCCATATTGTTTGTCCAAAAGGAATTCGTGCCAAGTAAAATGCTTAACTAGTCCTGTGTTGGTTTGAGCCTAGAGTACTTTACCGAAAAGTGGTAAGAGAATAATAGGGTTATAATTTGGGGGAGCCAGAGGGTTCCCCAGAGAGTTCCCAAGAGTTCTTAAAAACAGGAACTACAAAAGAGGACTTCCAAAAAGCTGGAAAGCAGAAATCAGCGAGACAATTGTTGTAAAGTTTGTAGAGATAACAAGAGCACATTTATTTAGGATAATGACAGGGATCCCCTCGCATCCACTTGCCTTGTATGCATATAATTTAGAAATGATGTCGAAACCAGTGACGAGGTTATACGCGTATCACTCAGTACTGGAAGACCTCAATGGATCAATCCCCTTAGCAAAGAAACTGAATGCAAAAAAAAAACAAACTTTACAAAGTAATCAGATTGATGAACTACATGACGAAACAAATCATTAGGATTATGCTAACTTCTTGAGTTTGTATCAGAATTAGTCTAGTCTTTATATAATTGTCTTTGAAGAAGGAAATAAAACAGACTTATAGGTTTAGATTTATTAAACCTTTCTTGAGCAACTGTTGGCATTTATTTGATATTTGAACATCGTTTATTGTTTCGGTTTATAATTTCCTTCTACAATAAAAACGTAATAGCAAGAAAACTGACGACACAAAGTTTAACCTACATAAATAAGAAGTGAAAAGAGTTGTTATATAATTTTATGAAAATGAAGGCGAATAAAATAGTACAAAGAATAATGAACTGACATTTTTATTGGATTCCAAATGTATTTTTATTAACTTTAGCTTTTTTTTTATTTGAGGGGATTTTATCTAAGAAATTTGAACTAGTTGGACTAATTTCGGGTAGATGATTTTTGACATGAGATCGCAGTCACGATGAATCAATTTCTGCTAGTTCTGCAAAGAGATGGTTAGCTGTTGTCCCGATGGAAGATGACACCCATTCAACTGACCAATTCCGGGCCCTTATCACTAAATGGTAACGTTAATCTGTTCACTTGGGAACAGTGCTTTAATGGGACGTCTTCTTGGATTTATAATAAATAAAAAATCCTTTTGCGTGAGCAAGTTTGATTTTTTTAAGCTCTCCTTCACGGAACAGAAAATTTTTTTTTCCAAGATCTGGTGAGCCATGTTTGTAAGGAACAATCCTTTATATTGATTTTCTAAGCGTAGCTTAGATGTGGTACAAGGCTGACAGTATGGGGGGTACGCAGTGAAGAACGAATTCACTATTCACCACGTCAAGGTGCTCAAAATAATCCTTTATATGCAGAAAGTGATTTCTATCCTTACCGCTTATGTTTCTACGAAGAGAGAAATTTATTACACTAAAGATTGCGACAGTTATCTAGCGAAGTAATAGAAAAATGTTGAAACTTCGACGGTGTGTAATAGCTAGCAAGCTTGTATCACTAGAACAATGACGACTGAGTAGTGAGTCCGATCCTCACAGGGTGCCTCATATTCTCGGCATTGTGCCACATCGAACCTACTCTTAGCATAACAGTATACAGTGATACCTTGGTTTAAGTCGTTTCGATTTAAGTCATTTTCGAAGATACGTCGGTTTTTCTTAAATATTATATGGAAAAATAAATCTCGCCTTACGTCGTTTTACTCTAGTTTACGTCGGCCGTTAAAAATATTAGAAACGTGAAAACATTAAAATAACAATAAACACACATATAAAAGCATATTTAAATAAATTTTAAAATAATATTTTTTATAATATATATATATATATATATATATATATATATATATATCATAAAATCACCAAAAAAAAAAAAAAAAAAAAATTAAAAATAGCGTAATAAAGTATGTTCAGCAGATGTTCTTATATCAAATTCTTGCCGACAGATGGCACTCGTGCGTTGTTTTCTACTCCAACACCGATTTTCAACCCAAACTTGTTTATATCTGTGCTCTGCCGTTGAAGTTCTTTCAGTTACATTTCAGTTGTGATTTAGAATACATTTTTACCCATGGCTCTGAAGAAAAGTCCTAGTGCAAGTGGTAAAGCTAAGCTACATCACTGGAAGATAAGGGGGAAATACAGAATACTGTACGCAATGGGGAGTGCTTATTTGCGATTTATAGTGTGGTTATTTCGACTTATTTTCCGGCCTAAGTCGGGATCTCTGGAATCAATTAACGACGTAGGGTGAGGTATACCTATATTAATAAAAAAGAGGAAATCCATAGTGTTGAAACATTGGTACTTTTACTCTACGTTTCAATATTTAATTTTATCGCCCGTCAACCAAAGATAAATGAACACTTTCTTTTCTTCTTTTAAAATGATGTTCACCTTGCAATAGGCTCAAGGCCACTCGATGTAGTAGGTTACAGACTAATAGGTAAAAGACACAGTTTATGAGTATATGTAGTGGGGATAACGGTTAATCCTAGACTGGAACAGGTTAATAGTGAAGCGATCGAGGAACTGTTCACTTGAGAGTCAGTTCACATAGTAGTGGTTTGTGAGAAGCTTTTCAAGCGGAACTTATTTCTAACCAATGGACTACGAAGGGAATGAAGATGGTTCGCTTCAGTGTTGCTCTTGTTTTGCACCTAAATTGTTACCTAATTTGGCAGTAAGATAACTTTTCATTTACTACGTCGACAAATATTTTCGACATAAAAGAATCTTCAAAGACTATAAAATTCTATCTTTACTTCTCGATTTAAAGTTCTGCATACTTGCATAATTTCTCCTGGACAATTGTGTTGCGTCAGCCTGAGTGGGTAGTGTCATATATTTAGCAACGCAACGTGACCAGAGCGCGTTTTTATATTTGGAATTTTTTATATTTGAGAAATCGATGAGCCGAGTTCGAATTCAAGTCGAATCCATTAGTTTACTTACGTGCTAATACCTTTGGAAAAGGTATGAATTCTCTTCTTCTCCACACCCAGCTATGGACAAATAACAGGACAGACCTTTTTCTACAGGCTTGGATAGCAACTGGTATACCGCAGAAAGAAAATGGCAACCTACTGCGAGAAAAATATCTGCCTCGTCAGTCATGTATCGAAAGATACGTTATCGCCTAAGCGTGTATCAAGCATGGCACATAACTTACTGATTGTTGCGATTTAAAAAGGACATGACACGTTGTGGAATCCCATGAAATAGAATTCGTTGTTATAGCCTGATGTGGATTTGGTCTTGCGATGAATATAACATATATGAATACTCCTTTCTTACTTTTCGAGGGACCAGGGCTGTGAGCCGGTGTGGCGGGATGCTAAAAAATTGCATCGCTGGAAGTAGTCCGACGATTTTAAATAAAAAAAAGTCCACGTCCTATTTAAACCTTACTTCTCTTTCTAGCCATCCAACGTCACAAATAAGGACTGTTACTGGCCATAGAACAGGGAACTGATGTCTACTTTCCCAATATTAATACGATGAAGACGATGGCAACGAAAACGATTATGTATGTTAAGTATTTGGAGTTTCTTCATAAGATACAAAGAAGAATCTGCAATGTTATTGGTCCGGACCTAACATCTCGTCACTCTCCCACCGCCGTAACGTATCTTCTTTGTGTCTTTTCTATAAATATTTTCATGATAACTGTTCTCATAAGCGTTCCTCTTTGATACCAAGACTTTAGGAATTTAAGCGCAATATTAAATTAGTCTAATCATCTTACAATAGAAATGGTTAAATGTAACCGTAAGTTCTATGCTAACAGTTTCTTCTATCGCACTTCACGTTTGTAGAACCCTCTACAGGCTTCTTGCTGTCCATTCCACTTTGATCTTCAAATGTTTAAATGTAATGTAAATCGTTATCTTCTGTCTTCTTAAAGTCTGTACTTTTATTATTCTTTCTCCTTGATATTTTTCTTTTTATCATATTGTCCCACACTTAGTACCCGTTCATCTGGCTAGCTTTATTGCATTGCCTGGAGTGAAACTACTTCAAATGAGTCAATACCTCAAGATTATAATGACAAAATGGTTTCATATATTTCTGCGATAATTTGACGTTTCATTTTGTACCGTGACTCGATGTCGACATTTTGGCTACAATGGAATGCTGTTTTGTATTGAAAAAAATATTAGAAATCCGCCCAGAAGCGACGACAGCAACGTGTACAAACACAGAGGCACGCACCCAAAAACGAATAAAAGAAAATATTGGCACGCCCCGAAGAAGGCCGAAAAAGATTATTTAATTTCAGATATGCCTTATATATAAAGCGCGTAGCAATTCCAATCAAAGTGGCGGTGAGCAAATATAATGGCGCATTGACTTCGAAGTTGAACGAGGAATGACGTGATTCTTTAACTGGAAGAATTCCGGTTGGCGATAACGGGAGACAGAAGGCAAGGGTGGAATTGGTTTTCTGGAATGAGGCAAAGAAGGTACAGGAGAGACTCATACCGATGATTATTGGCTGACTGACCTTCGACCATTGTCTTTAAAAACAACAACAACAACAAAAGTAAAATAAACACAACCGATCAGGTGGAACCCTTGAATCGAACCATGAAATCCATCAAGAGTTTTTCGTTTCAGGTTAGCATACATTGTTCATTTAGTGTTTTTTTTTTTTTGCACAAGAATGTTTTTCTATGCCAACTAAAATTAAAAGACAAACTTTGCAGCCGCTTTGGCATATGTCTATGCAAAGAAGAAAGTATTTTTATTGATTTGAGAGTATCGATATTGATTTGAGAGTATCGATATTGATGATGCCATTGCAAGACCAGAAAGAAAAGCGCCAGCGAAGATGAAACATTAACAATAGCTTGCGAGACTTCTTTGTTAACCAAAGAAAGATTAACGAATCAGAAATAACCGACAGAATAGATATA